TTAAGGAAAAAAATTTCCCCCCCCCCCCCCCCCCAACAGACCATCAAGGCGACGTCCCCTCTTGGTGACCCCAGGGTGACTTACAACTTGGAGGAGGGTCAGGTTCCTGAGACCAACATGCCCGTGCGCTTCTACATCAAGCCTAACCGGAGGGACGGTTCTGCCTCTATCCTGGTGGCAGAGAATCTTGACTATGAGACCACGCGTTTCTTTACGCTCCGAGTCCGTGTTCAGAATGTGGCGGCTGTACCACTAGCTTCCTTCACCACTGTCTATGTCAACATCACAGGTGAAAGATACTTTACTCTTCCGTAAATGACATCAGAATTATATGTAAATATAAGTACCACAAATTTGGGGTAATTTTATTTATTTATATATATATATATATATATATATATATATAAAAAATTTAATATATTTTATACTTATACAGTTTAAAAGATGAATAGATGTGGGGATAAGTTGTAATATGTGACTTTGATCCACACATACTACTGTAGAATCTTGTGAAGGCTTCCAAGAGATAACTGTTCAGTTGACGGCAGACAGCCTCTCTAAATCAAGAGCACCTTTAAAAGATAAAGGACTGACTGGACCTAGTGTGAATGTTTTTTGGCGGCCATGTTTGAACATGATTAATGTGTGATAGAACAGCAGACATCTCTCTGCTGAAGTCTTCTCTTAGAAGTATATCTGCTGCTTTTTAGGATTCAGTTTGCTTGATTTAATAAAAAATACCTTATATCACAAATCTTATTTGTCCATCTAGTATTTTACATAATTCATACTTTAGTGAAATACTTGAAATACAAAAACAACGAGGAGCTCAATTATTTTGACAGTATTTAAACAGATCAGATATATATATACACATACACATACAGTATGTGACCATGGACCACAAAACCAGTCATAAGTGTCAATTTTTTGCAATTGAAATGTATACATCATCTGAAAGCTGAATAAATAAGCTTTCCATTGATGTATGATTTGCTATGACAGGACAATATTTGGTCGAGATACAACTATTTGAAAATCTGGAATCTGAGGGTGCAAAAAAAATCAAAATATTGAGAAAATTGCCTTTGGATTTGTCCAAATGAAGTCCATAGCAATGCATATTACCAATCAAAAATTAAGTTTTAATATATTTATGGTAGGGAATTTACAAAATATCTTCATAGATCATGGTATTTACTTAATATCCTAATGATTTTTGGCATAAAAGAAAAGTCGATAATTTTGACCCATACAATGTATTTTTGGCTATTGCTACAAATATACCCGTGCAACATAAGATCCAGGTCCAGGGTCACATATATAATTTATTAATTGTACATTTTAACAATAGATGCACTTTTAGTATTCTTTGATGAATAGAAAGTTCAAAACAATGGCATTTTCTGGAATGTAAATCTTTTGTAACATTATCAGTGTATTGCAATGGTCCCATGTCTAAAAATCATGGTAACACCATGGTACTTCATACTTAGTGTAAGACAAAGAGAAAGAAATAGAACAAAAAATTTAAAAATCTGACACAATGAGAATAGTCCATGTTGACACCTCTCACTAGCGTGCTACAAATATGCCTCGACAACCGGTTCTACACTGCCTGTGTGCCCTCAGAGAAGTAAACACATTTGTGGTAGTTTAGCAATCAGCATTTCATGCCAGCGTGGTTTCTCAGAAGCACAGCTGTGTCTGATCTGATCCACTGATTGTGTTTGAGCCGCTGATGCTAATGTTTTTTTCCCCCTTTCTTCATAGCTCATTTAGCCTGCGTTGTGCATTTATACACAAAAGTGTTCTCTGCTGTCTTTGAGTGTTTGTGGAAATCCACAGCGCTGATGAGTGCATGACAGGCGGAGGGTGGGGGCGTAGAGCGATGGTGTGTGTGTAATAGGAACAGTGAAGAGCTTTGGCACCGACACAACACTTGAGACCACATCAGCATTAATTAAGAGGAAAATGGAGATTGAAATAGAGGGAAAAGGAGACGAAAAGCCCACGGAAAAACTAGTTTAGAGGGGCTGCAATCTACAAAGAGCAGAGAATCCAGACAATAAACCTGCATTAAGTGAATCCACACATTAAAACCTGCACATATTCTCGCTAAACTTGAACACAGTTAAGTACACACCAAACATGATCACAATGAAAGCCATAAAATAAAATAAAATGAAAAGACCAACAAATGACCCCAAAAGTGACTCTTAAATCGCACTTAAGAATCCCATTGAATTAGATATAAAATATCAACCCAAGTGGAGTTTATTTTTCAAGTAAAAAAAATAGTTTTAAATGCTATAATAGAAGATATACTGGTACTTTATGGCAGTCACAAATAGTGGAATATTCAGAAACGGGAATTTAGTTCTGAGAAAAGTAGAATCATTTAATTGCAGGTGCCTAATTTTGTATCTAATGCAATTAAACTTCAAATACTTTTTGGGGCCACTGCATTATTATAAAATAATGTTTTCCACTTATCTAACATCTGTCCAAATGAATCCATTGGAAGTAACAGATTGCTCTCGCTCTTTTTTTTTCAGATGTAAACGACAATGTTCCCTTTTTCATGTCATCCACATATGAGGCGACGGTCCCAGAGGGTGCGGAGATTGGCACATCAGTTGCTCAGGTCTCAGCAACTGACCTGGACTCTGGTCTCCATGGAATGGTGAGACTCTTCTGATCATGGTCCTTCCTGGTTCTCTCTAAAGGCCAATTCACACTGCACTGACAGACGCAAACAAATGGCAACACACATCGTCAGGTTTTGTTGGCACATCTGTTGATGTTGGTCGGCGCTTGTTTTCGCCGATTTAACATGTTGGTTCTTCTGGTCTTGAAATGTCTGAAAACTGACGTGTTGTAATCTGGTGACTGTCTCTACTAGTCTGCGTGTGTTTGTGCAGTGTGTATTGGCCTTAAAACTCTCAAACTACCTTGCAATGATTCTTAGAATACTTGATGCAAAGTTCTTTTTTAATCTTGTTTGGCACTCTTTCCTGTCTAGATTAACTACATCATTCTGAAGGATCAAAGTGGGGACTCACAGTTCTTTAGCATTAATTCCTACACGGGCATCATCCACACCCGGGCCACCTTCGACCGTGAACAGAAAGGCTCCTACTTGATCGAGGTCCAGTCTCAGGACAGCTCAGAGTCGGCCCGACCCGGTCAGCAGGGTCAACCCAACTCAGGTGTGATCCATAAAGCATGTCTTCCTAACCTCTGTCACTCTGTTTCCCCCTTCACCAATTACAGCAGGGCACACCAGCCTCCAGGATGAATTCCGTTCATTAAGACTTCAATGAGTCACGCCTAGTGAAGAACTAATGCCATCCCAGGGATTTGTGTGTGATATAGACTGCGTATAATATAATAAGGCTGCAGTTTTAATATTAAACAGTCATTAGGATGTTTAATACAATTTATCGAATAAATCATTACTACAAATTATTATTACAAATAATAATTTCTCATTAACTTTTTTTTATAAAGTCTGTGTTCTTGGAAATATGGTTTCATAAAAACCCCATTAATACTTTTATTCAGCAAGGATGCGTTGATCAAAAGTGAGACACAAAGGCTGATACAAAAATTTTAGTTTCAAATCACTGCTGTTCTTTTGAACTTTCTATTTATCAGACCGGTCTTAAAAATTGCATCAATGTTTCCACAAAAATAGTAAACTGTTTTCAACATTGATAATAATAAATGTTTCTTAAGAACCAAATCAGCATATTACAATGATTTCTGAAGGATCATGTGACACTGAAGACTGGAGTAATAGTTGCTAAAAATTATGCTTTGCCATCACATGAATAAATTACATTTCAAAATCTAGTAAAATAGAAAGCTGTTATTTTAAATTGTAATAACATTTCACAATATTACTCTTTTACTGTATTTTTGAGCTAATGCATTCTGGTGAGCATAAGAAACTTCTTTCAAAAACATAAATATAAATAACTCTTACCAACCCCAAAGTTTTGAACGGTTCTGCAGATATATATACACATATTTACATTTCAGTTGAGCTTCAATGATTAAATTTCATCATACAATGAAATGCCAATGACTTTGTTTTTGTTCTTTTTCTGTTTTGTTGTTTTTGCGAATAAATCATTACTACAAATTATTATTACAAATAATAATTTCTCATTAACTTTTTTTTATAAAGTCTGTGTTCTTGGAAATATGGTTTCATAAAAACCACATTAATACTTTTATTCAGCAAGGATGCGTTGATCAAAAGTGAGACACAAAGGCTGATACAAAAATTTTAGTTTCAAATCACTGCTGTTCTTTTGAACTTTCTATTTATCAGACCGGTCTTAAAAATTGCATCAATGTTTCCACAAAAATAGTAAACTGTTTTCAACATTGATAATAATAAATGTTTCTTAAGAACCAAATCAGCATATTACAATGATTTCTGAAGGATCATGTGACACTGAAGACTGGAGTAATAGTTGCTAAAAATTATGCTTTGCCATCACATGAATAAATTACATTTCAAAATCTAGTAAAATGGAAAGCTGTTATTTTAAATTGTAATAACATTTCACAATATTACTGTTTTACTGTATTTTTGAGCTAATGCATTCTGGTGAGCATAAGAAACTTCTTTCAAAAACATAAATATAAATAACTCTTACCAACCCCAAAGTTTTGAACGGTTCTGCAGATATATATACACATATTTACATTTCAGTTGAGCTTCAATGATTAAATTTCATCATACAATGAAATGCCAATGACTTTGTTTTTGTTCTTTTTCTGTTTTGTTGTTTTTGTTCTCCCATCTTTGTTTGATTTATAAATTAATTATCCAGAAAGAACAGCTTTTCTCTTGAGAGACTATAATGCACTGATGTGATCTGGAAGTAATGCACACCTCTTCTGCCCTGTAGACACAGCCTACGTGAGGGTTTTTGTCACAGATGTAAATGACAATGCTCCAGCCTTCTCTCAGCCTGTATATGAGATCAGTGTGGAGGAAAACAAAGAAGTGGGCTTTATGGTCATTACCGTTACAGCTAACGATGAAGATGAAGGTAATTTCTTTTCATTGTGTGTAGGTGTATCAAATATTATTCAGGTAGTCCTGTCACTTGTCTTTAGTTTGTGGTTTTTGTTGTTTTAGTTTTGTTTGTTTGTGCAATGATTCCTATCTGACAGCCCAATGATATATTTGACAGAGATTGAGGAGGAGGGGTTGCAAAAAGAAATTGAGCGAAATAAATCTAGGTGGAAAATTCGCTCCTTTTTGTGCTGAGCTTGTTAGCGAATCTCTGTGGTGAATGTGGGTGTAACAATTTCAGCACCCCATTTGATGTTTGTCTCTTTGATTTGTTTTTCTTTGTTGTCTTCAAGAAAATAATTAAATAAGTAACAGGCTTTCTTTAATGATGGAAGTAAACCCTTGTGTGAAAGATTTTGTGTAGAAATTTACATGAGATGCGTGACATCTGAGACCCCAGGCAAATAACCATTGAGATTTTTAAATGGAACGGAATAGGCAGCTCTACACTTTTGAGAAATACACTGAAATGATAAAAGTAGGGTGTAATGGTAGATTTCTGACAAAGCTTTACCAGGTGGTGTAACCAGAGATTAAATGAGAAAGAAAATAACAAGTGTATTAAACAAGCTGCACAGATTAATTCATCTTTTATCAGTCAAACAAGGGGAAAAAAAGTTTTTAAAGAAATAGTTCACTCAAAAATCTGAATTCTGACATTATTTACTCACTCTTGTGTCATCTGTATGACTTTAGTTTTATTCTGATTGCTCTTTTCCATATGGCACCACATTAAAAAGTGGTCTGCTTTATTCCATGACCTAAAGTTGTTCAGTGTGTTTGTGTGAGAAATGGTCCAAAATCTAAACCCTGTAGTTCCTAATATCAATTGAGAGTTTGATATAAATTGTACAGGTTTATTTTACTAATATTGAGATACTATGTATCTCAATTAAAAAAAAAAAGTTTAATTAATTTTCTATTTGAGCTGTAGTTACATTTGAAGTAATCTTGCTGTATGTTTTTGTCATTTTAATTTGTTTTTTTTTTTAAACAAAATAATGTTAAGGTTTTTTGATATATTATGGGTAGAATTTTACAATAAGGTTCCACTTGTTAACATTACTTAACTACATTAGTTAACATAAACTAACAATGAAAATACTTCTAAAGCATTTCTTAATCTTTGTTAATGTTGATTCCAACATTTATTAAAACATTATTAAATTCAAGAGTTGTATCTATTAATGTTATTTAATGGACCTGAGCTAACATGGACAAACAATGACCAGTTGTATTTTTAACTAATAAATAATTAATGTTAACAAAGATTAATAAAAACTGCAACAATGTATTGCTCATTGTTAGTTCATAATATTTGATGCATTAGATATAGTTAACATATGGAACCTTATTGTAAAGTGTTACCGATATGTGTGTATTTGACATTATCTCAGTTAACTTTTATTTCAGGTAACATTTTTTAATGGTTAAGTATATGCTGATAGAATTTACTTTTTTGGACGAACTATATCTTTAAGATAACACAGAGAGGCAGAAAGAGGGACGACATGCAGTTTTGTTTTCCAAAGTGCTCCGTATTGTAAACGTATTGTTACCAAAGTATGCTGAACCCCTCAAGGGCAAGCTGAAACTGCAGGGAGTTCATGTTTATTTCAATAGCACACAGACTTTTTTACAATGATGTAACTATCGCCATTACACCATTTTACAGAAGACAGTCTGTATTTTTTTTCTCCCTGTAATGTAAGATGCCAAAATTAGCAAGTGTACGAGCATTGCTGACAGCGTACTTTACCTTAATGCTATGCATTGTTTGACCTTGGAAATGAAACTTAGCTGTTTAGTAAATGTATTATTTATGTCTTTAGAGAGCTTTGTATCTCAGCACTGCCTGAAAACTGCCTTAGCAGCTGAAACCATGTGAATACATGAGCAGCTATGAATTAGTCTAGTGAACTCTCAGTGGTCAGTTAAATTTGCATATTCTGGAGCGACTTCTTCTGTTGATTTTGTTAGCCCTGTTGGAACATTAGGTCCGTCGCTCTTTCCTCCGACAGCCATAGAGTCGCTCCTGGTAATCTGAGCATGACAGGCTTGGACAAATCACCTATCCGTCCAACGAAGCGTGGCAGCCTGCCCGTCTGCCCGTCTGCCCACCCCCTCATTTCTCATCCTCTGCCTGTAGAATATTCCAAGCTGTCACCTCCACACATCTCGTTGACACGATTCCTCCACCTGATCTCACTCTGATTTCCATCAGGGCATGGTGACTTCGGCTCATCTGTCAACATAAACAAACAGGCGGTAGCACGATGTCTCTCACGGCGTAGCGGCTTCACCTGTTACATATGCATGACAAATTATGTGTGGCGTGGAGCCGTGTCAACAAGCAGACTGAAGGAGACAGGGGCAGCAGGATGGAGACGTGCAGGTGTCTGATAGCTCATTAATGATGAGACGCTGGTGCCGCCGTGGAGGTGAGAAGGGTGACGTGACCTGCCATGGCTGGATGGACAGTCCAGAGCTGAGCGACAGCTAATATCTCACAACTGTCATGAAGGGGAATGCAAATCGAAGCTTGATGTCCCTCTGTCCCCTTCCTGCTTTGAAAAGCACAATGAATGAGATCGCCATTAATATGCAATATTTCTTATTACACTGGGGATGAAAATGGGAACTAGGAATAATTAGGAGCTGATTTGCAGGAGAGAAGGAATTTTATGGTCCTGTTAAGTATTTCCTATAGCTGATTAGCAGTGCCCTCTCTGAGCTGTTCATTAAACTCCAGACTGATTTCAAAGATGGAATAAAACACTGTAAACTTTCTTCAACAGCCGAATGAGCACAAGGTCTCCTAGACTTTCAGCTGTCTTTCATCACCTATGACCGTTCTATAGATCACAGTAGTTAGGTTTAACCTAGTTGGCCTGTGGTGGTGTTGTGGGGAGGGCCGCCGTATGGACTGGCTAGTCATTAAGGAAGCTTGCTAGAGCTTAGACGAAACTAGAGCCTTTCCCCCTGCAGTGTACCATAGTTGGATAAAGCCATTTGGGGTCAAGCTGGGGGGCAGCAGAAGTGGGAAAGATAAATTATGGTCATTGTTTGAAATAAGATTTTCAACCAGAGATGTACATCTCTAAAGATGAAGGGTTTCATTTTTATGCCAATAGGGCCACCAAAGAGAATTGCGGGAAAAAATGAACATTTTATAATATTATTATTAGAAAATATGTATTTATTATTATTTATTTATTTAGAACTGGATTTCATATATCAGCAGAGATAACTTATTAAACCTTTTTGATGTATAATTTTTATAATCAAACTGTCATTTCAAAGAATCAAATTGGATGTAATGATGCATTGATTTAGAAAAAGTGTTTAAAAAAGTGTAACAAAATATGTACAAAACATTCTGTGTGACATTATGTGTATATGTGTTAATTTCAGTATTTAAGCACAATCATATCATGACTGTGCATTCAAGCTTTTTTGTCCTTTATGTAATCCTCATCAAATGAGAACAGATTAATGCTGACATTCTCTTTTTATCCAGCTCAGCCAAGCTTAACACTTCCTAGAATGCTAACGCTTCCCAAACCCCCCAAACAGGTGCCAATGCCCAACTTCGGTACCAGATTACCTCTGGGAACACCATGGGCACATTTGATGTGGAGCCAGAGGTTGGCACGATCTTCATTGCCCAGCGGCTAGACTATGAGCAGGTGCAGCGCTACGAGTTACGGCTGGTTGCGTCGGATGGAAAATGGGAAAACCAGACAATGGTTGTCATTAATGTCCTCAACCAAAATGATGAGGCACCCCTTTTCACTCAGACTGAGTACCACGCCAGCATCATGGAGGAACTTACAGAGCTTCCTGTCCTTGTACTTCAGGTGAGGGGTTAAAACACTCAAACAGACACATTTAGTTGCATGAAAAAGGCAAAAATGTTGTAGAGAAGAACATCAACCTTTTTACAGAGATATGAAATGATTTTGTGAATGTCTTGTACATATGCTATAAATTAGTTCCAGTTTCGTTATGGGTTTCAGTGTTTCCCCTAGGTAGGCGTTTTTTTTTTAGGGGAAACTCTGGGTTTCCTTGAAGGGATATGTAATGTTTATTAATGTCCTCATGTAGTTTAAAGCTTAGAAAGCCTAAAAAGAAAGCCTATTTGAAATTAATATTTTGACACACCCTGCCACGATTGTCATTTTGTGCTACCGTGTCTCAATATTGCTGTCTATTGTGCTGTCAGTGTAAAAAATAAACTTCAAAGGCTTTGCATAAACATACCGGAAAAGAGGTGGAGAGAACTATCGGCATTCCTTTGCTGTGACTATTAACTTTGAATTGCCCCATATGTTCTGTGACAACTGTGTTGAATTCTAATATGCATGCCTGTATTTTTCCCATCTGTTCTTCACACAGGTCTCAGCCACGGATCCAGATCAGGAGGCAGACCAGCGTGCGGTGCGGTATTCTCTACACGGGCAGGGAGCTGGTAATGAATTCACCATAGATGAGATGAATGGTAGGATCTTTGCCCAACGTCGTTTAGATCGCGAGGTCCGCTCAGCCTGGCAATTCCTGGTACTTGCCACTGATGAGAATGGGGCAGGTCTTACCGGGTTTGCTGATGTTCTAGTCGAAGTGCAGGATATCAATGACAACGCACCTGTCTTCCTGTGTGCAACAGACAACTGTTTTTTGGGTCACGTGCCTGAGAACTCCCCAGCGGACACTTCCATAATGGAGATGCGGGCCACCGACCTAGATGATCCAAAAGCTGGGAAGAACGCTATCCTTACCTACAGAATTGTGCAGAATGTGCACAATGAGATCAATCTTAACCTCTTCTCCATCAACCCAGCCACAGGCACTATCTATACTGTTTTGCGCTCTTTGGACAGGGAAGTGGTGGATCGATACCTGGTTGTGGTAGAAGCTCGTGATGGAGGAGGACTTTCGGGGACAGGAACAGCCACCATCATAATTTCCGACATCAATGACCATCCTCCGGTGTTCACCCAGAGAGTCTACATGGCCTCTATGCCAGAAAACTTGGATATCAACAGCGAGGTAGTGGTAGTGGCTGCCACCGATGGTGATGAAGGTGAAAATTCAGTCATGACGTTCAGCATCATTGGTGGAGATGAAGACCGCAAATTCTTCATTGAGACTGACAAGGTGAACCGCCATGGCATAGTGAGACTGAAGAAGAAGATTGACTTTGAGAAACCACATGAGCGCACATTCAACCTGACGGTCAAAGTGGAGGATGCTGACTTCTTTAGCCTGACCTACTGCATCATTCAGGTGGAAGACTCCAATGACCACACTCCAGTCTTCTACCCACAGTTCTACGAAGCGGGATCCATGTTCGAGGACGTTCCAGTAGGCACCATCGTGGCACAGGTGACAGCAGTGGATCTGGACTCTGGACAAAATGGAAGGTTCACGTACAGCATCGCCCCAGAATCCGACCCCTTTCAGCAGTTCCTGGTAGATAAGAGTGGTTGGGTTGTGGTAGCTGACTCTCTGGACAGGGAGAAGGTGTTTCAACATAGGCTTATGATCCTGGCCACAGACATGGGCAGCCCTGCTCTGACTGGCTCTGCCATCGTGCTAGTGACCGTACAAGATGTCAATGACAATGGACCAGAGTTTGAGGCTCCATATCAGCCCATTGTGTGGGAGAACACTATTGCGCCACAGGTCGTTCACATGAACGATACATCCATTCTGTTGCATGTTATTGACAGAGACACGTCATCCAACGGAGGGCCTTTTTCCATCCATCTGCTGATGCTGACCTCTGTTGTTCCTAATTTCAACTTGACTGATCTGCGGAACGGCAGTGCCATGATAACCGCTCTCCGCAGCTTTGACCGGGAACAGCAGAAGCAGTATCTTCTCCCCATCCTGATGATTGACAGCGGCTCACCACCAATGAGCTCCACCAGTACACTCACCGTCATAATTGGAGATAAAAACGACCATCCCCATGCACCTGGACACAGCGAGTTCATAGTGTACAACTTACAGGGTATGTTCCAAAGAAATGTCATAATCTTGCTACCATAGTACTGAAATTCACTGGCTGTTGTTATTTACATCCCTTTCAAAAAGTACTGTGGCAGTACCATAGTATAATGGTGGTGATACTATAGTATTTTGAAATATACCATGGTACTGAAATTCATATACCATGGTATTTTAATGGTACTCTAGGGTACTTCCAAGAATACCATGATACTACTATTATGCATGTCCAGAAAACCATTGTGGTAGCATAGTACTTTTTGTAAGTGTTAACATATTCATTTTGCATGATATTTACTTGGTACTCCAAGGTACTTCAAAATATACTGTGGTACTGCCATGGTAATATATCAGTTTTTTAGTCTTCTTAATATATCACATTTTAGGAAAGAAATATAGTATCACTTGATATATTTTTAAAATTTTTCTCTTTTCTCTGATGGAAATGCATTAGACTTCTAATAAGAATTCGTCATGTAGCTCAAACATGGCATGATGCTAACAATTTACTTAAATCCCAGGTTTAAGAGGCACATAAACAGGAACCATTTTAAAGGGAGTTGATTTAACGACTAACCGGATTACAGCATTTCGTTCTGCCTTTTGGAGAAATGGCAATGTTGCATGCTAATAGCCCCCCCCCCCCCCCCCCCATATATTTTTAAAATTTTTCTCTTTTCTCTGATGAAAATGCATTAGACTTCTAATAAGAATTCGTCATGTAGCTCAAACATGGCATGATGCTAACAATTTACTTAAATCCCAGGTTTAAGAGGCACATAAACAGGAACCATTTTAAAGGGAGTTGATTTAACGACTAACCGGATTACAGCATTTCGTTTTGCCTTTTGGAGAAATGGCAATGTTGCATGCTAATAGCCCCCCCCACTACTGTGCTGTCTAAGTGGGTCCATATGTGCCAATGAGATGCTCTGCTTTTTGCTTATCTTTTTAAAGATATGTCTCCTCCACCCACCCACACACACGCGTATCGCCACAGGTATCGCGCAGACTGGATGAAGGTAGCTTTTCTCTAACCTCATTATGTATTTTCCCCAGGTACACTCCCCATGACGGTGCTTGGACAGGTTCAATCCCCTGACCTTGATGATTGGAGCGAGAAGGTTTACAAGTTCGAAGGCAAACCCCCCAGGTGCTTTGATCTTCTATTGAAGTTTGATTCAAAATTCACTGTGTCAAGTGACACTTACAAGAGAAGAAAAAAATAACAAAAGTGAGGGGAAGATAAAGGGTGTGAGTGTGCAGAGCACGGCATATTAGCTTACTGACAATGTTGGGCAAGTTACTCTGAAAATGTAATCAAATTACTGATTACTGATTACTCCTTTTAAAAGTAATCACGTTACTGTTCTGATTACTTTATTTCTAAAGTGATTAGTAATTAGTTACATTACTAGTTACATTACTTTTTTCTCCATTAAAATTGATGAAATTCCAGCTCCTGATAAATATTTGTTATTAAAGCATCAACATTCACAGAACACTGCTATTTTTAACTAAAGCAAGCGGCTGCTGCGTGCATGGTTTGGCATGGCAGAATGCCAGCAAAGAGCGCTGCACTTATAATCCCTAAAAGACATCTCAGTTCATCGCAATTTCACAAATCTCTGTAATAACACAATAAATATATGCATAATGAATCTTTCATAATGTCTACAATTCGTGTGTTATAATGAGAGGATTCGTGAACACACAAATTTCAGCACTGCATTGCTCAACGCTGCAAACACGTGTTATAGCCTAAATAGAAACTCTGCATACGCTTGCACCTGTTAATCGTTTATATTTTATATTAGTTCATGTAGCTTTTGTGCAAGAGATGAATAACAATTTATTTGTTTTAGATATTCTATGTCTAGATATTTCTATTTTGCGGGAGTCCCATGAATAATTTTATGCTCCCGGATCCCGCACACACACGAGTCTCTGCACTCGCCTATTAAGTCTTGTCCCGTGCCGCGCTCTGTTGCGTCGGGTCTCGCGGGAGCAGGTCTCTAATCCACTGGCACTTGACTCGACAATGCGTGTGCTACATCCTTTTTACAATCTCTAGATTATAAGACACTGAATTCTGTCAGCAATGTAACGCGGCAGTAATGTATAGAGACCTCGGCTTGTAACTATACTCTAATTACTATTTTGAAAATTATAACGCGTTAAATTACTCTGTTACTAAAAAAATAATCAAATTACAGTAACCCGTTACTGCCCAACACTGCTTACTGACATCTTGCCTGTCACTTGCCTTTTTCATTTCAAAATTCACTCTGAAGTGATACACGAATTCTCTCCTAGTAACTGATAAGAAAGATTACGTTGGCTAGAGGTTCTCTCTAATGAGCTGCATGTAAGTCTGATGGACTTTGTCCAAACCAGACTCTGTGGCTCATGCCAACAATGGCACCTTTAAGTAAAGCGATTATGCTAACACTCCAGCAAGCAATGCCAACTCAATCAGTTTAGTCTTGAGTTTAATCACAGTCTATTTCAAGTTCCATCCAAAGCTGTGCCCGACGGTGTGTTGTGGAGGATCCCTTCTCATTAATTTGAATAATTAACACATTAATACATTAGCAGTTTGATGTTAGCTAGTGTGACACATCTCTTGGCACCAAGAGCGTAGCTTCGATCCAAGCAGTTTTTCATTTGCTTACTTGACAGTGAAGTACCTAATTTGGCACCCGAGCTGAAGGTTACCATCGAGGTGGAACTCTATTCCTGTTATATGAACATGATTGAATTTAATTTGAGCAGTGACTACTGAGTTTAGCGACCTTGCTGCACAATGTTTGAAGTTACAGGGCCAAACATAGCTTCATAGCAAACGCCATATACCAGGGTTGTTTTAATAGACATGAAATGTCTATTTTCATTTTGTGTCCCTGTCCTCTTAGCTCACACTACAAGATAGATATGGCGTTATTTTACTGACAAATGTCGAGAGCGCATTGCTGTAGTATGAAAGTACATTAATATAATGTTTCCTGTCAAATTAACATCAAATGCAAAATGTAAATGATGCACAAGATATAACACAATAAATGCTGTTCTGATTTTAGTTGGATTTTTTTTTCTCATGAAAACCCACTTCATATTAGCTACACATTCAACCTGGAATTCTTTTGACAATCAAAGATGGATCTGCAATTTCGTTACAATTTAATAATATTTAGCAATATTAATCAAATGTATATTAGAAATGGCAAGGAATGGGGTGTTTGGATGATTTGTACATATAAATAACCTAGTCTGTCTAACTGGTTGGTCAAACCCCTCTGAGCGATTTATCTAAACAAACAAACAAAAAATGATATGATTCTTAAAGTTCATGTGATCATGCATGTCTTGTGTACTTCGTTTGAAATATATATTAAAATATCTTCTGATTTAAGACAGGACTATTTAGATCAGAGTCAGATGCACTATTCCTTAAATACTTAAAATGTGGAGAATTTCTCATATTTGTCATAACATCATTATATTCTATGGGTTTAATGAATTTGCAGACAATGTAGTTATCTGTAACTGTCATATAACTGTATTTTAGAGGAGAGTGCCATTGGATGTGTAACTAATATGAGGAGGGTTTTCATAAAAAAATCTAACTAAAATCTCTGGATGAAAAAAAAACTCCCAATAAATGTCCAAACAGCGATTCTATCACAGCATTTATTGGGTTATATCTCACTCACACTAGTCTGTAATCACAGATGCTACAATATGTTTTGAAATCTGGTTCCAAGAGAGACATGAGGAACAGTCAATGAAATTGCAAGTCTGCAATCATCGTATTTTTCAAATATTTTTCAGCATGTGCAAAACAATCCAAAAAATGACCACAAACCCTTCCTCCAAGTTATCAAGAATCAACTCTTGCATTACTATGTGTGTTCGTTTATGTGAGAAAATGCTAATTCAGGATAGTAGATACGTTCAGGGAGGCATTTGGGCTTCTCAGCATTTTTGTGTAAAGGATTTTTTGATGAATAGAAAGTTCAAAAGTTCAGCATTTCTTTGAAATAGATTTTTTATGTGTAACAAAAAAAGTGTTTACTGTGAGAGCTGATCAATAGTGTACATCCTTGCTGATTAAAAGTATTCATTTCTTTTTTTTTAAATCATACTGACATATATCTAACACAGTTGAGTTGTGGTTTATGCTTAAAAGCAAAAAAAATGTGCACAAGAGGACACGCTTCAAAATGCAGAGAAGGGATAATACAACTGTGACCTAGACAGAGAAAGTGCATATCCATACAAAAGAGAGAGAGAGAGAGACTGAGAGATTGGTGTGGCCCAGCTGTTCCTGGAATCTCTTATCCAGAACAGCAGAACTGTCCCTGCCATGTTCATCACATCTGGAGACGGAGACAGGAGTTGACATAAGTGCTTTCACTGATATACACACTGCCATTAATAATACAGCTTGAGTTATCTTACAGCATCAGTGCTGCTCTCTCATGCGTGATGATCCAAGAATGAACCTGGGACTGAATCTCCAGTTACTGTACAGTTATTTTCACTCTGGTTTGTCTTTGTTTAAAGGGATAGTTCACCCAAAAATGGAAATTCTGATACCGTTTTGTCACCCTCCAAACACATATGACTTTCTTTCACAGAGGTGTTAGACAGTAAGTTGATGCTACTGCTTGTCTTACAAGGATAAATAATGAGGGAGTAAAGAAGCACCATAAATGTATTATAAAAGTCTTCCATCCATATGTACACTATATACCAAATACTATAAAACCATAAAAGATAGCTTTGTGTGAGGAACAGACCAAACATCCTCCTAAACATCTTAATTTACTGCATGAGTAAATGATGCATTTCTTTTTTAATCCTTACTATTATAAATATTTAATAAAGGTGGTAGATTGAGATGATCATAAATACACTAGTTGAATCTTGAGTCATGCATTAATTCTCATCCTTTTGCCCCACTGAACATGAACCCACACAGGCAATTCAGCCTGAACCAAAACACCGGTCAGCTGAGCATCCGAGACGGAACACCAGCTGGATTCTACAGCCTGCAGGTGAGGGTGGCAGATAAGAGCTGGCCTGACGTCACCTCATCAGCTGAGGTCATGGTGATGGAGCTGGAGGAGGAGGAGCTGAGGAATGCTGGGTCAATCAGACTGGCCAGTGAGTGACTCTTCCTTTAAATTTTTTTTAAATTAAATTAAATCTTAAAATAGAACAGCTTGTTTTTGTTTTAATTTATTAATCTATTAATTCTTAAACATATTCTTACATTATTGTTATATTTAACCTTCATGTTATGTGAGAGGATTTTCTTTTCCCCAAAAATGCTAGTGAATGTTACCGCATAGGACTCCAACTTTGTTACACTTGTGGTGTTCCCAGTCAAAAATGAATGACCTACAAAAATTGCTTGTAAATCTCTCATCATGCAATATTATTACCAAATGTGGGATTCAGTATTTCTATCAACTTGTTTTCTTTCAATTAGCCATTAGGTTTTGTGTTTCTTTTTGGAACTGATTGGTATTGATCTGAACTTATGCACCTCTGTTTTTGAGTGAACACTGCAAAAATTATTTTTCACTCAAAAACTGAGGTGCATAATCTCAGATCAATGAAGCCTATGAACAGTCAGTTCCAAAAAAAAAATTTAATTAAAAATACAAAACCTGTGCTAACTGAAAGAAAACAATTTGATGAAAAGGTTGAATGCAGCATTTTTAAATTGTTGAATATCGGGTATTAGAAACTATTTTAAAAATGCATAGCATTTGCATCCTTGTATCCCGTTAGAAAAAAGTGTCTGATTTTTATGCTCAATCATTTACTTTGACCTTAAAAGTTTGTGCATCACATTTCAATGGAGATTTTGTAAATCTGTCACATGTAATGCAGGCTGAGATTGATGAATGAGCGTAATGCAGTCCACAGCCTGAGAGTAAGTGCTTTTACTCATTTCACATGCAAAGAGGCCATTTGCATATAAGTCTTAGCATAGAGGGGGCAGTGTGAAAAAAGTCCAAACAAAATAGGGTCATAGAGATGGTGGAAAACATATGGCTAAAAAAACAAATGTTAAGAAACAGTACAATGTGACCGCATTAATAAATATGCTTGGATTTTACACTGATGGCAAGTTCTTTGTATGTGTGTGTTTGTTATGCACAGACCTGACTGCAAATGAGTTTTTCCAAGCATCAACGTATGAGGAGAGCCGATGCATGCGTCTCCGCCGCCTCTTGTCCGAGCTCTTCCAGACTGATATGGAGAACGTTGATATCTTTAGCCTGGCCAGTGGCAGCCAGCCAATGCAGCATCACCTCAGCGTGTGGTTTGCCGCCCATGGCTCGCCATACTACAAGCCCGAGAAACTCCACGGCTACGTGGCAATGCACAAAGCTAAGGTGACAAAGACATGCGCACAAAAACTCACACTTTCACACCAATCCACGTCTTCTCACATAGGCACAGACATGGAGTCTATGAACCGGTTCACATTTAAATGCGTCTCACACCTGCACTCAGAGACACACTTTGCAACTGTTCAATAAATATTTCATTTCCATGTAAGGCATGAGATGGTGGGCTTTCACTTTGGGCTGGGGAGGCGAGCATGATTTCTGAAAGGGAGTGAGGGAGGAATGGATAGAAAGAACATGTTGATCCCTGTGCAGCATCCACCAGTCTATAAATCAGGTGTAGAGTAGGCTCTCTTCACAGCCCAGTGTGGTGCTAATGCTCTCACCGAGATGATGTTGATGCACTACACAGGAAGCTGCCCTGACATTTTTAGAGCCACTGCTGAGGGATGTGATGGACTGCTCTTGAGTCCAGAACAAACAAACACACTCATACTAACAACACATGTACAGAAATGATTATGGTGAATCACTTGTGTCGCATTGTTCCTCTTGTAAATTGTTTTGGATAATAATGTTATTTTGATCAAAAATATTTTCTTATGCTTCTTATGCTTTTGCTGAAGAAAGAAAATGAAAATGTAGTCATCAGAAAGAAAATGAAAATATAATCATCCAAACTTATGCCCTTGTCGTTCCAAACCTGTATGACTTTTTCTTTACAATGTTTCCAAACTGCTCTTTTCCATACAATATTTTATTTTATTTTTAATTTAAATTTTTATTTTTAATTTAATTTAAATTTTTATTTAAATGTTTTATTTAATTTAATTTGTATTATTAATTATATTTAAAAAATTTATTTTACATTTTTATTTTTACATTTAATTTATTTTTATTTTTCATTTTTTATTTATTTTTTTCAGTAGAATGACCAAGGATGTATTTTCCATATAAATAAAGTCAATAATGACTGGTAAAATAAAGGGTTCACCCAAAAATGAAAATTAGCCCATAAATTACTCACGCTCAGGTCATCCTAGGTGTTTATGAGTTTCTTCTTTCAGACGAATCCAGTTGGAGTTATATTAAAAATTGTCTTTAATCTTTCAAGCTGTTTAATGCCACTCAGCGGGTGTTGCATGCATCAGTCCAAAAGAAGTTAAATAAAAAGCGCCCATCCATGAAAAAAGTGTCTCACACGGCTCCTGGGGGGGGGGTGAACAAAGGCCTGTAGCGAATCGATGCGTTTTTGTAAAAAGAATATCCATATTCAAAACGTAATAATCGCTTTAATGTAGCTTGCACCAACAGTTGTACACGGAAGCAGCTCCGAGCGGATGACGTATGAGGTCAGCTTTGCGCATGCGCCGCTCAGAAGTGATGCACGCGGAAGCGCAGCGGAGAGATCATAACAAAACAACGGTCACTTATTAGAAGTACAAAACGAGGATTTGTGAAGAAGAATGTCGGAGGATTTCGATATAAGCCAAGAGGAGACTGGTTTTCCTTTGCTAAAGTAAGGAAACGTTGCTTCCTTTGCTCCTGTTAACAAACGTTGGTTTTCATGAGACTCACCGGTGCATGCGCAAAGCTGACCTCATACATCATCAGCCTTCCGTGTACAACTGTTTGCGCAAGCTAGATTAAATTTATTGATTATTACGTTTTGAATATGGATATTTTTCTTACAAAAACGCATCGATTCACTACAGGAGGCCTTTGTTCACTCCCCACCCCCCACACTTTTTTTAATGGATGGGCGCTTTTTATTTAACTTCTTTTGGACTGATGCATGCAACACCCACTGAGTGGCATCAAACAGCTTGAAAGATCAAAGACAATTTTTTTATATAACTCAGACTGGATTCGTCTGAAAGAAGAAAGTCATTTACACCTAGGATGACTTGAGGATGAGTAAACTATGGGCTAATTTCATTTTTGGGTGAACTAACCCTTTAAAGGAAATAACAGGTTGAATGTGGGGAAAAAAAGAAAGAAAGAAAAAATTTAAAATTATAACATTTGCCTGAATGTATTTTGTATTTTAGCTTTTCATTTTATTTCATTTAATTTGCTATCTAGTTGTAGTAATGTTGGGTAGCCAACTGTTCCAATATATATTGTGCAGTTTTGCTTATGTGTAGAAAAAATAAATAAATAAAATGTATCAATCAACAAATATAGTAAAAAGGAATCAGTTGTGGGAGTAACATTAATTCAACAAGTAATTTAGTAGGATTTGTACTTCTCTTTCAGTTGGAGTCCGCTCTGGGTGTGACCATTCTACAGGTGGGGGTGGACGAGTGCGCCTATGCAGCCTGCGGTCAGACAGGTGGCTGCTCTAGCAAGGTGACATTCAGTGACACCCCTAAAACACTGAACAACGGGAATGTCTCTTTGGTGTCTGTCTCAGCCAAAGCGAGCGCTCAGTGTGGCTGCCTTGCTCGAGAGTGCGTTCACCTGCACTGCTCTTCATACTCACAAAACCCTTGCCTGAATGGAGGCACCTGTGTGGATAGTGAACTAGGTTACAGGTAAAACAGTCTAGTGTTCTAGCACTCATGTCTTGTTAATAATTGCTTGTTTTAGTATATGATAGAATAAACGTTGTTTATTCATATAATGCAGTTTCACTTTTGGTGAAGCAAAATCTACTACTAATCTACTACTCTGTTGTAGGTGTAAATGTCCCCCTATGTTTGATGGACCAGAATGCCAGCAAACCAAGCACAGTTTCCTTGGCAATGGTTATGCTTGGTTCTCGCCCATAAGGCCTTGCTTCCAGAGCCACATCTCTCTGGAGTTCATCACAGAGGCAGCCAATGGCCTGCTGTTCTACAATGGCCCAATGAGAACACCTCAGCCTGGAGAAAAAGAGGACTTCATTGCACTGGGTATGTATGACAAATGATCATGTTTCACTCTTAATTTGTATAGTGCCGTGGAAAGTGACGTGTCAATTTAGAATGAACTGTGTTATTTTAGTATTATTTATGTACTATTTTTGTATTTATTAATATTCTGAATTAGCTTGTGTTCAGTTTTTATTTTATTGTTATTTTTTATTTATTTATTTATTTTATACTTTTAGTTATGTGCTTTTGTCATTTTTGTTAGTTTTTCTATACAGACTTACTTTATTTTTATTATATTCATTTTTAAATTACTTTTCGTTTTAGCAATTTTAGCACTTAAACTTATTTCATTTAGTTCCCATTGAGACATTTCTAATTTTAAGTTTAAGTTTTTTATCTAATATTTATATTTTATTTTATTTTATTCTAACATTATTTCAATTACTTAAAATTAATTAAATATTTGTTAACAACAATACCATACACACCACATTCCTAATGATGGAAAAAACTAGTTGAAAGTTTGGACTGAAACCACATATGTAAACATTTACTTTTCAGTAGAAAAAAAAGAACAAAACCATCTCCATAATGGAGAGAACATCCATCATAGTACCATCATAATTTAAGATTCTCTTGTTACACTGCATGACATTAATTTCCTCTACCAATTAATTGTGTTACTAAAATCGATTAATGGCAACAAGCACAATTTGAAGTGAGTCATTAATTATCGATGTGTGTAAATGTGTGTGGTCAGCAGTGGTGTGAATGGGGTCACCGGTGAAGGTCACATACTCAGATTATATGCCACCTGTCCAGTACTGTATTGTGCAACTGGTCGTGTGATTTCAGGAAACGACCCTCCCGTGGCCTTGCATAAGCTTACATCATCCGTTTGGTACGTTTTTATTGAACTGGGGCAAAAGCCCTGCACTACAGTGACAGCAATTTCAAATTGAGAACAAATTGATTACGAATAAGCTTTTTTTTTTTTTACTGCTGGGGGTCAAAACCAATCGTAGGGGGCATAAAACAGCATTAGATTTTCATGTCACATGTGTTTGCGGTACCAGTGTCATATGCAGGGTTCGTACGGTCATGAAAAACCTGGAAAAGTCATGGAATTTTAAAACACCAATTTCCAGGCCTGGAAAAGTTTTGGAAAAATAAATAAACCCAGAAAGTTTTGGAAAAGTCATTGAAATCTATTTCACAAAACTCTGTATAATAGAATTGTGTTTAATCAGGTCATGAATTTCGGTGCGGGATTGCGTATAGGCTATATCGCATAGGTTTACTCATTCCCGCAGCTTTTGACTTTAAAATGATGGATATTCACACATTTATTCAATAGCCTATAGCATGTAGGTTTGATGAGTAAATAATCAAACCTACAGACTGAGTCCAGTCCACACAGACTGATCAAATCAGTCATTTGACAACAGCGTGAGTGATTCAGCTGTACGCGTCTTCTCTCTTTGACTTTTCTCTTCAAACGGCTTCACATCGGCACATCTTGCCTGCGCTACAAGGGTCATTGTTGCATCATCAGAAAATTTTATTATTTATTTGAATGTCTTTTTAAGCCATTCGGTACTCGCGCGCTCCAGAGGCAGTGCGCAGTCACATCCAAAGTGCGCTCGTGCGTATATGAGTATTGAGTTTGCTACCAAATAAGCTCAGCAGAAGCCTGCACGGGCCTCAAACATATGCCCTAGTC